TGTCCATCTCTAGTCTCTCATTGCTAATCTCTGTGGTTCTAGGGATCAAGTCGGGGGCCTCCTATATGCTACACATGTGCTCTGCTACTGAGCTTCATCCCCAGCACAGTAGTAGTACATCCTATAATGCATGCCCTTTGCGAAATGAATTTTTTTGTTTCCTTCAGAAGAGACTGGAAATTCAAACATATTATTATTAAAATAAATTTATATAGTAAAACAGTTTTAAAATTATACAATTTCAGCTAGGCATGTTATTGTATGTCAGTAATCCCAGCACTCGGGTAGCTGAGGCAGGATTGCCATGAGTTCAGGGCCAGCCTGGACTACATAACCAGATCTCGTCTCATCCTCTGGACGCCCCCAGCCCCCAGTTATACGCTTTTATTGCTCATCAGCTATTTTGTATGTCAGGGTGTTGTATTTCATTTTATAATAATTGAGCCAGGTATGATGATGAATGCCTGTAATCCCAGCATTTAAAATACTGAGACAGGAGGATTGTTATAAATTTGAAGCCAGCCTGGGTGACAAAATGAGTTCAAGGTTAGCCTGCACTACCTATCTCAAAAAATAAAACACCAAAGAGCCAAAAGAAAAGGATGATTTTATAAAAATTGGAATGAGTCCAATTGATACATATTTCTATGTATGAAAAAGGAATTGAAGGGCCAGCAAAATAACGCAGCAGACTAAGCACGTGCTTAGGTAAGCCCAGGGGACGAGGTTCAATCCTGGGCACAACATGCTGTGCTAGCGCCCCCTCAGGTGACCTGAGCCGGCCACTGCGACCAGATTTGGTAGTGCATGCCTGTAATCCCAGCGCTAGGGAGGCTGAAAACAGGAGGCTCACTACTACTCCGAGCTGCATGGTTGAGATCCTGTACCAAATACCTAAAAGAAGAATTTAAATCTTTCTGTATAATTTGTGTGCCAGAACAAAATACAAAAGCAGAAAGAATTTATATCACTGTGAAGCTTTTATAATTATGTAGGAATTTAGAAATCAGGATTGGATAAATAAAAAAAAATATGTGTGTGCTGTGAACACTTCGCAGGTGTTTCTGCCCGGTTTTTCTTCATAGTCAGATGCTGTGGGAGTTGGTGCTACTGGGAGAGCCCCTCGTGGTGATGGCGCCTTCACCGTCGGAGTCGTCAGAGACCGTCCTGGCCCTCGTTAAGTGAGTGTGGTGGCTCCTGGCGTGCGGTGCCGGCAGCATTTTGCCCTTCTCTGGTGTATTTGCCCACACGTTAGTTCATCAATCCATGTAACAGTCCTGTCAGAAGATCCCCTGCTTTCTGGAGCACCATCTGATGGACAGTAAAATGTCAGGTTCCATGAGGGCTGGGTCTGTGTTTCTGTTCTGCACGCCAAGCATTCTCCACTTACGTGAACTTACTCCCTGATAAATAGTAGCAGTACCCATGTGAGTGCTTCATGAAAGGCACGTGGCCAGCTTCACCCACCTTCTGCCTAACATCGGTGTTCTTTCTGCGTGCCATTTCACATTGCATATTTCTAGTTGTCTTGTAGTTCCCTAAAATGAGTTGGCCACGTATTGAAATAAATACATTCTCCCATTGCTTATCTACTGTGCACGGTTAAAGAGTAGGCCCTTTAATTTCTGTGACCATTGTTTTATATATTTTTCCTGCTCCACAGCTGCGTTTCTCCATTAAAGTACTTCAGTGATTTCCGACCTTATTTCACTATTCATGATAGTGAATTCAAAGAGTATACTACCCGTACTCAAGCTCCGTGAGTAAACAGAATAACTTTTATTGACCAGGTATTATCTTTATAACCCGAATTATCTAGAATTATTTTTTATAATAAAATTTTAATTTAAATGTTTAGCATTTTGGCAGATTTTTATGAAAGAAGGTTTGAGTTGCTGATAGTAGCTTAAGCTTTCAAGTGTTAGTAGCATATTCTTTGTCAGTGGTTTTGTAAATGGAATTTGTATTGTCATTAATATTCATTAGACCATATTGTGTGATTTTTCTGTGATTATAAAAAATCTCTCCAGTTTGTAG